GCCCCCCAACCCAGGTACATGCACTTATTATCATAACTAATGGATAACAAGGCTCAAAAAGGAGGAGGGACTCCCTTAACACCTGTATCCCTTAACTTGGTTAAGTGGCAGAGATGAGCTAGAAAGCAAGTTCATATTATCATCAAAGCCCATGCCTTGATCATGAACCTCAGCCCCTTTGTCCTCCTTCTAGAAAAGACAGACATCAGCCAGATCATGGGAGCAGGTGGCAGACACCTCCAGAGGGGTGAAGGGATATCCTGGCCCCACAGCCTAAGCCACAGGCACAGCCAACAGCATCAGGGCCGCTTCACAGGTCCGCAGCATGCAGACTGTCACTGCCTGGTCAGAGAGCCATATCCCAGACTTAAGCTGTGATTGTCTTGTCACTGTCAACGAGAGGTTCAGCCACAGCCATTAAGGAAAACCGAGGCTAGTTCTCTATTCCCCTTTCCTTGAGAGGGAATCATGGAGGCATGAAGACACATGGGAGAGAGGGATGGGGAAAAAGGAATAACAACACAATAGTAACAAAAATAGCAAAAACTGTACCAAACTTCCTGTGTGCCAGGCACTGTTCCAAGGGCTTCGAGTACACTAGCGTGTTTTGTCTTCAGAACAAGACTGTAACATCATCCCCACTTTGCAGATGGAAGAAACTGTGGCCCAGGGTTTTTGTTTTTTTTTTTTCCCAGACACATCTTGAGGCCTGTGGGATCTTAGTTCCCTCATCAGGGATGGAACCCATGCCCCCTGCAGTGGAAGTGCAAATTTATTCTTCTTCTAAAAAGTTTATTCAGATTCATTCTTAACCACTGAACTACCAGGGAAATCCCCTGAGGATGTTATAATTTACCCAAAATGACACAGCTTGTCAGTGGCAGAGCTGAGATTTGAAACCCAGTGGCTGACTCCTCAGCTCATATTTTAAAAAAAAACAAAACAAACTTCTATCATAAAATAAGAAAAACTGAAAAATACCCTGGCATAAATGTACAACTAAGCGAGAGACAAACAACCTTGTAACTACCATATGGATCAAGAAATAGACCTTGGCGGGACTTCACTGACGGTCCATGGCTGAGACTCCTTGTGCCCAATGCGTGTCTGGGTTCGATCCATGGTCAGGGAACTAGATCCCTCATGCTGTAACTAAAGTTACCGCATGCTGCAGCTAAGACCCAGGGCAACCAAATAAATAAATAAGTATTTTTGAAAAAATAGAAGTTTGTCAGATTCCCCAGAAGCCCCTCTCTGTGCCCTGTCCCAATCACAGTGCTGTCCCTCTCTCTCCCTAAGTGTGTTAGTTGGGCAGTCGTGTCTGACTCTTTGCGACCCCATGGACTCCGCTAGCACCCTGCTAGGCTCCTCTGTCCATGGAATTTCCCAGGCAAGAATACTGCAGTGGTTTGCCATTTCCTTTTCCGGGGAATCTTCACCACCCAGGGATTGAACCCATATCTCCTGCATTGCAGGCAGATTCTTCACTGTCTGAGCCAGCAAGGAAGCCCAATCACAGTCCCCTCCCTCTCTCTCTCCCTAAAAGGAACCACCATTCAGACTTTTATAAGAATAATTCTCTTCTGTTTATTTATGGTGGTTTTTTTTCCAATTCAAGTGCACATCTCTAAACACTGTCATTTATTTAGGCCCACTTAAAAAAAAACCAAAAACTTGATAACTTTTAAGTTTCTTTTCATCTACAAGTCCTCCATCCATCCCTTTCTTTTTCTTGTCATTTATATGTTGATGCTTTTGAGCCCTTTGACCTGTGAAGCTTCCCAGGTCTGAATTTTGCTGATGGAATACTCACAGTATGTCTCAAAGTGTTCTTCCATACTCTGAGTTTCCTGCCACTTGCCCACTGGAGCTAGAGGCACAGTCGGGCTCGGGTTCTTTCCTCTCAGCAACACCCCCCCAAGGGGTGTGGTCTTCTGTTAAGGGCACAGGATGTCTGTTTTTCTCTGTCTTTTGGTCAGAACCAGGCTCTCAACCACACTGCTATGAGTATGCTCCCTGGCTGCCCCTGGCTGCCCCCCGGCTACCCTATGAATTTGCTCCACGCTCTGGACCTATCTGTTAAATATGAGCCCTTTCTAAGCACCAGGTATTCTGTTGCCGTGGCCCTGGCTCACACAAGGAAGCTGCTCCTCATAAGTCCCCCCTGAGCCCCGTCTTAATCACGCTCCACCCTCCAAGGTCTGGGTGGGATTAGGCCTTGCCTCTCTGACCAGCATTATCTCTGCTCCTTCCTCCAGCCCAGTACACCAGCCAAGTGGAATTCTGCTCCGTTTCCTGAAGAAGCCACACTCTCTCTTATCCCTGGGCCTTTGCTTCTGCTGTTCCCTTAACCAGAAACACTCCTCGCTTCAATTCCTCTGACTCGGCACAGCTGATCCTTCAGGTCTTAGCAAGCCTGTCCCTTCCGCCCCACCAGATTGGTGGGTAGATTCTAGTACGCGCACTTCTCCTAGGCTAACCTCATAAGTAACCTGGTAAATAGCACTTCTACCACTACATCAGCCTTGTCTGCCTTCTTATCCGTTTTCCTACTAGAGTCTGAGCTTCTAAGAGACAGGGACTCAGGCAGAGGACCTGGTGCAGACTAGGTGCTCAATAAAAGTCAGTTGAATACATGCTTGAATGAGTGAATAAACTGGACTTTACAGGTCCAAGGAGACAAATCCAGGCTCAGTTTCAGGCCTCACAGACAATGAGAACTCTTCTAAGATGATACACCCGCCTGGGGAGAAGGTATAGAAAGAGTTCCTGCCTGGGATAGGGTTCATCCAGGGAAATGAGCCTCGGTTCTTGGAAAGGAAGAGAACCTCTTCTTCAAATGATCTTATTAGGAATGCCTAAATATACAAGTTCAAGGGGTTTCAGCACTGGAGGAGGCAGAAGCCCCGCCTCTGGGCTTCCCCTGGTCCTGGGCATGAGGGCTCCTCTGAACAGTGGCCTGACACCTTCTCAAGTCCGTTTATCATAGCCGCCGTGTCTGTGACTTTAGCAAACCACAATACTGAGGACAGAAATTGACGCGCTAACTCTATTTTCTCCCTGTGGTGCCCTCAAGGGCTCATCCCTGTCAGCTGACAGGGATGCTAGGCCACTGGATTTCTGAAACAGTGTGGATCTGGAGTCTGTGGGCACAGCTGGGTACAGCAGCAGGCAAGGCTGCAGATCTGCCCACCAGGGCGCAGAGCCAAGGGCTTAGTCTCAGAATTGGATTATTCCAGTGAATTTGGAGCTCCCAGCCCCCCTGGCTCTGGGGATTCGGGGATTACCCAAGCCTCTAGAGGGTGGGGCCAGGGGGGAGCCCACCATCCTCCTCTAATGGATCTGATAACATGGATCCTCTCTCTGTGGCTACAGAGAGGCAGGGGATTGTCTACTTACCTCCCGCTTCCAGCCTGCAGCCCACAGCCTCCATCAGCTACGTCCCCTGTGTCTGGGATGTTCAGCCATGTTATTCCAGTTGAGGTCCTGAGAGCATCAGCATCCCCTGAAGCTTGTGAGAGATACAACTTCACAAAGTCTGTCCCAAACACTGGACCTGAATCATTGGGTTGGGGGTGCCTAATAAACCCTCCAGGTACTCCTGATAAGCAAACTCAAGTTTGAGAACCCCTGGCTTGGAGTCCATGGTTCCATCCCACACACCAGTCAGATTATGCCTCAAGCCTGTCAAAAGATTCTGGGCAACTTGTGCCCACAGACTTCTCCTTCAGACTCCTTTAAGCCTTTGATTAGAGAAATTAATGACAGTGATTACAATGGATCCTGTTTAATAATGCCACCTTGCACTATTTCAAGGCCTCTGGAGGTGGGCACTGCAATACCCCGAGATCATTTACAGTGGACTTTATTATCCCCTTATTGCACATGAGGAAACTGAGGTTCAGAGAGGAGATGCGGCTGACCCAAAGTCACACAACGAGCATAATAAATCCAGGACCCTGGATTTATTTATCCAAGCATTTATCCTGCTTCTCGCTTGGTGGAGAGAATGAAGGCTGATTCTACATCTGTCTTTTCACACACTCTGGGATTTCCTCCTGGGCAAAAACCGTGTTATCACTTCCTCAGGAAAGCCTCTCCTGACCTCCCGAGAGAGTAGTCCAGACCTCCTTATTCTACCCCACCAAAGGTCCCTGCGTTTTTCCTTAAAAGCAGGACCGCAATTTGTAATCACATATGGATGTGATTATCTCCTGTCGGTCTCCCCAACCAGTGAGAAAGCTCCAGGGAGGCGGGAAGTGAGGCAGACCCTGCTCCAGGGCTTGCGCAAGCCACATCCAGTCTCCTTTCCTTATAGAACTTGACTCTGTTTGGGGCAGCACTGTGTTCAGCTACATCCGTATATGCCCCAGTCTCCCTTTCAGTTAAAGGTACCGGGTTCTGGCTTCTGAGATGAGTGTGGAAGAGGCTGGGGACCTCACGGAACTCAACACAAGGCGAGTGCAGGAAGGTTTTTGAGCCAGTTCCCTGAGTGCAGCTGGTGCTCAGGAAATACATGTATCATCTAACCAGGCAGGAGAAGCAAAGAACCCCCAGAGCCGCCTTCCTCTTGGAAATGTTTTTATTGGTTCTGAGATAACAGGGCTGAGGCGAGCTGGGACGGGCACAGAGCTAAGGAAGGTGGTGAGAGGCTCTGCCCTGGGGCAGACATGCTGTGTGGGCCCCCCCACCCCAGCCAGCGGCGGCTGGGTCCGTGGCACTCGGCGCCCGGCCTGACCTCTGCCGGCATGGCATGGTGGCCTCCTCGTTGGCGGGCGCCCCCCCCTTTCCAGTTGCAGGAGTCGTGAGTCTTTTTCACAGTGCGGAGGGGTGGGGGTCCGGGGTGGGCACCTCCCCGGGGTGCAGGCAGGCCCCGTCCGCCAGTACATCCTGGGCTCTGGGCGGCGGCGGTGGCGGCGGCGGCGGCAGCGGAGTGAGGCGAGCTCAGGCTCTTCTCCCGCCCCACGGAGCTTGGCGGTCCTGTAGGGGCCCTGGCGGCCTCAGCGGGACATCATCCGGACAAACTCTGCGGTGGGGGTGGGGGACGGGCGGGGGTGGGGAGAAAGCAGCAGTCAGGGTGCAGGACACTAACCCCACACCTTCCTCAGATCGATGCCTCCCTCCCCCGTCTGTGGCCACCGCCTCTGACCGGTGCTGGTCCTGTGTCCATCCGGCATGGTTTTTTGTTTTTTTGGTCTCACCCACCACGTGGCACGCAGGATCTTAGTTCCCTGACCAGGGATTGAACCCAGGCCCCCTGCAGTGGGAGCATGGAATCCTAGCTGCCAGATCACCAGGGAAGTTCCCCATCCAGCATCTTCCAATCCCTCTTCTTTGCAGCAGCCAGCAGGATCTTTCTATCTATACCTGTGACCCCTTTCAAACCTCTCATGGTCCCCACAGGGCAACGGGAACAACCTCAAGGCCTCTCTGTTCTGGCCCCAGTTGACAGCTCCAGCCTTACCGGTCACTACTCATCCCCCACCACGAAGTTCGACTCCACGGATCCCCTGTCTGCACCTCAGGTGGAGCTGACTACCCGCTCCCCTCCCCGCTTAGCTTTCCTGCAACCTGTCCCACTCCCTTCTCTTTTAACTAGGCTGTTTTCTAGAGCAGTTTTAGGTTCACAGCAAAATTGAGCAGGAAGTCCAGATTTTTTTCATCTACCCCCTGCCTCTATACACACATACACACACACAGACACACAGACACATACACACAGACACACACACACACACACAGCCTTCTCCATCACCAACATCCCTGAAAGTCGCTTCAGTCGTGTCCAACTCTGTATGACCCTATGGACTGTAGTCCCCCAGGCTTATCTGTCCATGAGGATTCTCCAGGCAAGAATACTGGAGTGGGTTGCCATGTCCTCCTCCAGGGGGTCTTCTCCAACCAGGGATCGAACCCACGTCTCTGAGTCTCCTGCGTTAGCAAGTGGGTTCTTTACCACTAGCACCAACTGGGAAGACCTGGAAGCTCTGTGGGTTTGGACAAATGTATAATGATATGTATCCCTGTTATAGTATCACACAGAATAGTTTTACTTTTCTAAACATCCTCTGTGTTCCCCCTATTCATCCCTTCTGCCATGAACAACTCTTGGCAACCACTGATCTTTTCACTGTCTCCGGGTCTCCATGGTTTTGCCTCTTCCTGAAGGTCAAATCATTGGAATCACAGAGTACGCAACCTTTTCAGATTTTCTTTTGCTTACTGTGCATTTAAGTTTCTTCCATGTCTTTTCATCACTTGATAGATTTTTCTTTTACAATGCTGCATAATATTCCATTGCCTGGGTATACCATAGTTTTATTTATATATTCACCTAGTGAAGGGCATATTGGTTGTTTCCAAATTTTGGCAGGTATAAGTAAGGCCGCTATAAACAGTAAATCTGTCTGTAGGTTTTTGTGTAGATAAGCATTTTCAATTCCACAGGGCAAGTATCTCTTCCTCTTTTTCACCTGGTGACTCCTCCTTGCCTCTTAGGGCTCTGCTTGCTTACAGCCTCCTCCAGGAAGCCTCCCCTCATCCTCGCCACTTTGGCAAAGGTGCCCCCACGGGATGCAACAGCCTGCTGTACTTGCCCCCAAATGGCATCGACTATACTGTCGGTTCTCTTTTCCTTGCTGGTCATGGGCTCCTCAAGGTGGGGATCAGGTCTTGGCACACAGCTCGTGTACAACACATGCTGGTAGAATGAATGGGAGACACTGGGCTTTCAGGGAAGAGCTGTCATCTGTAGGGGTCACTACCTGGACACGGGGTACCTGAAATGTTCAGCTCTGGTGGTAGCCAAGCCTTTGGTAGCCAAGCCTCTCCACTGCCACACTCTCCTTGACCTTGAAGACCAGCTACTCCCCAGAAAAGGCCTCCCAGCCTTTGTGTTCTGGACATATTCACAGTCTAGCTCATGTTTATCTTGCCTTTCTGCTCAGCACCCAAGTTTATGGAATGTAGAATCAGTGTTTTGCTGTGTTTTTCCCCCCTGTATCCCATGGTGCCTCAGATGGTGTCATGAACAGTGTAATGTATGGAATGGCTGAGATTCCAGGCCTGAATTTAAGACCCAGCTCTGCTTCTCTTACAGAGAAGCAAGTTATATTACTTCTCTGAGGCTCAGTTTACTCAATTGTAACATGAGGTAATAATAGTGCAGTCCCTGGAGTCATTGTAAAAATTAAATGGGATAATACATGTAAAGTTACTTAGGACAGTGACTGGTATATAATAAATGTTCAGTTCAGCTCAGTTCAGTCGCTCAGTCGTGTCCGACTCTTTGCGACTGCATGGACTTCAGCACGCCAGGCTTCCCTGTCCTTCACCAACTCCCAGAGCTTGCTCAAACTCATGTCCATTGAGTCGGTGATGCCATCCAATCATCTCATCCTCTGTCATCCCCTTCTCCTCCTGCCTTCAACCTTTCCCAGCCTCAGGCTCTTTTCCAATGAGTCAGTTCTTCACATCAGGTGGCCCAAGTATTGGAGTTTCAGCCTCATCATCAGTACTTCCAATGAATATTCAGGACTGATCACCTTTAGGATGGACTGGTTGGATCTCCTTGCAGTCCAAGGGACTCTCAAGAGTCTTCTCCAATACCACAGTTCGAAAGCATCAATTCTTTGGTGCTTAGCTTTCTTTATGATCAAACTCTCATATCCATACATGACTACTGGAAAAGCCATAGCTTTGAATAGATGGACCTTTGTAGGCAAAGTAATGTCTCTGCTTTTTAATATGCTGTCTAGGTTGGTTATAGATTTTCTTCCAAGGAACAAGCATCTTTTAATTTCATGGCTGCAGTCACCATCTGCAGTGATTTTGGAGCCCAAGAAAAGAAAGTGTGTCACTGTTTCTATTGTTTCTCCATCTATTTGCCATGAAGTGATGGGACCAGATGCCATGATCTTTGTTTTTTGAATGTTGAGTTTTAAGCCAGCTTTTTCACTTTCCTCTTTCACTTTCATCAAGAGGCTCTTTAGTTTCTGCCATAAGGATGGCATCATCTGAGTATATAGGTTGTTGATATTTCTCCCTGAAATCTTGATTCCAGTTTGAACTTTATCCAGCCTGGCATTTCGCATGATGTACTCTGCTTAGAAGTTAAATAAACAGGGTGACAATATACAGCCTTGACATACTCTTTCCCCAATTTGGAACCAGTCTGTTGTTCCATGTCTGGCTCTAACTGTTGCTTCTTGACCTGCAAACAGATTTCTCAGGAGGCAGGTAAGGTGGTCTGGTATTCCCATCTCTTTAAGAATTTTTCACAGTTTGTTGTAATCCACACAATCAAAGGCTTTAGCATAGTCAATAAAGCAGAAGTAGATGTTTTTCTGGAACTCTGTTGCTTTTTCCATGATCCAATGTATGTTGGCAACTTGATCTCTGGTTCCTCTGCCTTTTGTAAATCCAGCTTGAACATCTGGAAGTTCACGGTTCATGTACTGTTGAAGCCTGGCTTGGAGAATTTTGAGCATTACTTTGCTAGCGTGTGAAATGAGTGCAATTGTGTGATAGTTTGAACATTCTTTGGCATTATCTTTCTTTGGGATTAGAATGAAAATTGATCTTTTCCAGTCCTGTGGCCACTGCTGAGTTTTCCAGATTTGCTGGCATATTGAGTGCAGCACTTTCACAGCATCATCTTTTAGGATTTGAAATAGCTCAGCTGGAATTCCATCACCTCCACTAGTTTTGTTCATAGTGATACTTCCTAAGGCTCACTTGACTTCACACACCAGGATGTCTGGCTCTAAGTGAGTGATCACACCATCGTGGTTATCTGGGTCATGAAGACCTTTTTTGTATAGTTCTTCTGTGCATTCTTGCCAACTCTTCCTAATATCTCCTGCTTCTGTTAGGTCCATACCATTTCTGTCCTTTATTGTGCCCATTTTTGCATGAAATGTTCCCTTGGGATCTCTAATTTTCTTTCAGAGATCTCTAGTGTTTCCCATTCTATTATTTTCCTCTATTTCTTTGCATTGATCACTGAGGAAAGCTTTCTTATCCCTCCTTGCTATTCTTTGGAACTCTGCATTCAGATGGGTATATCTTTCCTTTTCTCCTTTGCCTTTTGCTTCTCTTCTTTTCTCAGCTATTTGTAAGTCCTCCTCAGACAGCCGTTTTGCTTTTTAGCATTTCTTTTTCTTGAGAATGGTCTTGATCACTACCTCCTGTACAATGTCATGAACCTCCATCCATAGTTCTTCAGGCACTCTGTCTATCTGATCTAATCCCTTGAATCTATTTGTCACCTCCACTATATAATCATAAGGGATCTGATTTACATCATACCTGAATGGTCTAGTGGTTTTCCCTACTTTCTTCAATGTAAGTCTGAATTTTGCAATGAGGAGTTCATGATCTGAGCCACAGTCAGCTCCCAGTCTTGTTTTTGCTGACTGTATAGAGCATGTACAGTTAGAGATGATCACTAATTATGATTATTACTATCTTAAAACACTTTTACTGAGCATTTGCTATGTGTCAGGTACTGAGTTCTGTGGGAATCTGAGAGATAAAGAAAGTAGGATTCCTCTTTTCTCCAAAAGTTCAGAATTAAGTGGAGATATAACTAGTGCTTAGGGGCCAGTGTGAAGAACGAGGGTAAGCCTGAGGTGCTGTGAAAGCCCAGAAAAGAGGAAGCTCAGTCTGAGGACCGAGGGAAGTGGCCCCACTGCTGGGTCTTAAAGATGGAATAGACTTTAGCCCCAGTGAAAAATAGAATACAAGCATCCTGACAAAAATAATAATGTAATCAAATGAGAGCTTGGCAGGCTTTTGGATCACCTATCGTTCTAAGGTGGAGTGTGAGTGAAGGAATGGTGAAAGCTGTGGCCAGAGAAGTGAGTTGTGCATAGATCTTAAGGGGTCTGAATGTCAGGTTGAGGAATGTGGTGTTCAGAAAATACCTCCATTGATGGATACAGGAGAAGGTGGATCAATAGACATAGAAAGAGATGGGTGGGGGCAGAGGGACACAGGAGTGGATAGATGGATGATTAGATGGATACAGATGGGGAAAGTATAGACGACTGACAGATCAATGGAAGTGTGGGTGGAGATATAGGCGGATGGGTAGAGAATAAATATGTGAATGAATGTTGAGAGTTACAGATGCATGGATAGATGGGAGGAGGTATACAGATAGATGGAGGCATGGATGAATGTACAGAAGAATGAATAGATGCCTGGATGAGTAGCTAAGGCCATAGGTAAATGATTCTATGGATAATTGTTTGGAGATCTGTTAGTGGATAAATAGGCACCTGGACAGAAAAAGAGACAGATGGATGAACACATGGAAAGAGAGATCTGGAAAGATGGATGGATGGGTGCAGGAACAGACGATGTATTAGAGGGGTGGAAGGATGGAAGAGTAAGGGGATGAAAAGTTGGGGCAGATTGATGACTGCATGATGGACACCCATGTGGAGGGATACACTCTGTGGATGCCCACTCCTGTCTTGGTTCTTCTTCCACTCTCAAGACCCACCTACCTTCAAAGTCCACTCGTCCATCCCCGTTGAGGTCCACGTCCCGGATAATCTCTTCTATGTCTCGGTGTCCCACCTGATGACCCAGGAGTTTCCTCATGGCCTCTCGTAACTCACTGGTGCTTATCTCACCATCACCATTGGTGTCAAACTAGAGGGGGCATGAAGGAGGGAAGAGTAGCTACAACAGAAAGACTGTCAGAAGCAGATCCCAAGGTTGAACCCCATCTTCAGCATCATTGTCCCCCCCACAACCCCTTCCCCAGAGCACCTCTCTGTCCAATCTTCTTCCCCTGGGGTGGGATCCAGAGGTCCAGGTTCCTTTCAGGTTGGGAATTCTAACAAGTCCCCCCGCCCCTTCCTGTCCGCTGTCTACCACTTACCTCTCGGAAGGCATCTCGCAGTTCCTTTACTCCAATCATATCTGCCGTCTCCGCCAGGAGTTTAGGTCCCATTAGCTCCACAAAGTCATCAAAATCCACATGGCCACCCACTGGGGACAGAGGAACAGGCTAGGTCATCCATCTAACCGCCACCCACCTCCAACTAGACAGCCGAGGGAGCTGCCAGCCCCCCCTGACCTGCCCAGCGACAGGCCCAGGGTAAAAGCAGAGGCCAAATGAGGACAGAGAAGTGACCATGGACAGGGTGGGTTATCACAGAACAGCTCAGAGGAGAGGCCGGGTGCTAACTAAGGGGACGAGTCAGGAACTGGACAGGGGTACAGAGGGGAGAAAGAAACATGAAGTCACAGAGATAGGCGAAGAATTTCAGAGCAGGAGAGAGACAGAGACAAACATGCAGAAAGACAGAGAGGGAAGCAGGAGTCGTGAGCGCCTGGCCCACTTGCCCACTTGCCCCCCTCTCTCCCTCACTGTGCAAGTGGAACTCACCTTCCAACCTTCAGCCAGCTTCAGCCACCTTCCAACTTCACCCAGCCTTCAGAGGGTGGAAATACAGGAGACCTGCCCCCAGGGCCTGCTCACAACACTTTCAGCCAGTGACTGAGCTTGGGGGATAAACACTTAGCCCGAGAGACAGCTCCACGGTGGGCCTTCGACACCAGCACCCTGAGCTCCATCACCCACAGTAGCAGCTCCTCAAGTGCCTTCTGCTTTGGCGCCCTGTCTTCACCCTCCCGCCTCCCTACTCTCGACCGACTTGGGCCTGCCCCTCCTAAGTGAACCCCACACTCAAACCCTTGTCTCCTGGTCTGCTCCTGGGAGAACCCAAAGTGAGACAGAGAGAAACCTAATAGTGATAGCGTCCTCTGTTCCACTGTTACTGAGTGCCAGGTATTGATTTATTGGGCTGTTTAGAATATCCTCTAGGGACTTCTTTCCTGGTGGTCCCGTGGTTGGCAGTCCCGCCGGCCAGTACAGGGGACATGATCCATGGTCTGAGGAGGTCCCACCTGCCGTGGGGCAGCTGAGCCTGTGCACCACAACTACTGAACTCGTGCTCTAGAGCCCACGCTCCGCAACAGGAGAAGCCGCCGCAATGAGAAGCCCGCACACTGCAACCAGGGAGCAGCCCCTGCTCAGCGCAGCGAGGGAGAGTCCGCGCGTGGCAACAAGGACCCAACACAGCCAAAATAAATAAATAAGTTCTTAAAAAAATAAAATATGCCCCCTAAAAAGAAACAGGCTCACAGATACAGAAAACAAACCAGCGGTCACACTGGGAAGGGGGGTTGGGGGAGGGCCAACATAGAGGCTGGGGATTGAGAGATGTCAACTACTCTGTGTAAAATAAAAAAGCCACAGGGATATATTGTACAGCATGGGGAATAGAGCCAATATTTTACAGTAACTTTAAATACAGTATAATCTATAAAAATTTTGAATCACTATGTTGTACACCTGAAACTAATATAATACTGTATATCAACCATACTTCAACTTAAAAAAAAGAAATGCCCTGAATAGGCAAATCTGCTTAGACAGAATGTAGGTTAGTGGTTGCCCAGGGCTGGGAAGGGACTTGGGGGTGATGGCAAAGTGGTGTAGGAGGGGGCATGAAAATATTTTAAAGTTGATCGGGGTGGTGGTTGCACAACTCTGAATATACTAAAAGCCACTGAAATCTATACTTTAATTCCCCAACCAGGGATCAAACCCATGCCCCCTGCAGTGAGCACAAGGAGCCCTAACCACAGGACCACCACAAAAGTCCCTGAAGGGAATGCTTTAAGTGAGTCAACTGCATCGTATACGAATTACGTCTCAATAAAGCTGTTTCCCAAAAAAATTAATGAATAAGTAACTCAAGAAAAAACAACAAACAAATAAACATACCCCCAAGTGACTCCCTATTCCACCCCTCATTTTACAGGTGAAGAAACTGAGGCACAGGGAGGGTAAGTGGTTTGCCTGCAGGTCACAGAGCTAGGAAGAAAGGGGAGCTCAGAACTTGAACCCAGGCAGAGGACAGCAAGGGTGAGGCCGGGGAGGGAAGGGGTGCCTGGCGGAGGGACTCACGGTTCATGTTGATCTGCTGAGACAGCTCGATGAGCTCCATCTCGGTGGGCATGTAGCCCATGGTGCGCATACAGTTACCCAGGTCCCGGCAGTTGATGTAGCCATCCTTGTCCTTGTCAAATTCTCTGAAGGCCTCCCTGAGCTCTGGGGAAGAGAAGGAAGGTGGACGTGGTGACCCACAGAGCCTCTGGGGCAGAGGCTGCCCAGAGGGGCCCATCGACTCATGCATTCCTCCAACGCCCGGCTCCCCAGAAGATGCCCGGCTCTGCACTAGGCCCTGTTCACAGGAAGCCGAGATGTCTCTGCCCCTCTTCCCACCCACCTCCCTCCCCTCATCTTCCTGGATGGCTGAGCAACACCCTCCTCTAAGAGGCCAGGTCTCACCTTCAATCTCCTCTGGCCGCAGAGATCTGTCCTAAAACAAAAGAACATGTGCCATTAGCAGCTGGGAGGGGCCCAGAAGTCATCCAGTGCCCAGCTGAGGGCCGTCCCAGTGGCAGCAGGCACTGGCTGGGAGGTGATGGGGCGGCCGCGGAGGTGTGCCTGGACCATGTCCTGGAAGGGAAAAGTGCATCCCCACCCATCTCACACACATGGGAGAGGCCAGGGAGCCAGAAGCCCCTTCCAACCTGGGCTCAGAACCTCTGCACCCCTAACCCCTTATTCCAGACACAAGCATGTGGTCAGGGAACAGAACTGATCTGGAGGCCAAAACCTGTAAATAAAATGGGGTTATTGGGAGGATCCCAACAGGTAGAAGAGGGCTCTACCCGATAAAACCAAGGGCTTCCCCGGTGGCTCAGCTGCCTAGGAACCCGCCTGCCAGTGCAGGGACACAAGAGACGCTGGTTCGCTCCTTGGGTTGGGAAGATCCCCTGGAGAAGGAAATAGCAACCCACTCCAATATTCTTGCCTGGAAAACTCTATGGTCAGAGGAGCCTGGAGGGCTACAGTGCATGGGGTCACAAAGAGTCGGACACAATTGAGCACGCACACACACACACACACACACACACACAATGAAACTAGGAAGAGTTGGGGAGAAGAGGTGCTGAGGGTGGGCAATGGGAGAAGCAAGAGGCTGGGGGAGAGAAAGTGGGGTCCAGACCAGTGCACGAGAGGGAGGAAGAGAAGGAGCAGAGGGAATGGAGGCAGGATTAGGACTGCGCCCTGCTTCCTGGGCACTGCCCCACCTTCTCCAGTTGGGCCCCCATCGCAGACCTCGCCCTGTCACAGGACACAGCATAGGACCCTGGGGGCTGCCAGTACCTCTGGCGGCTGCCAGGGTCCAAAGCACACGTCTCCAGCCACAAGCAGTGCCCAGGTCTCCTTGGGGAGTCAAGGAAGCCCCAGGGCGAGGCATCCGAACAGATGGCAGAGAAGTCTCCAAAGAGTGGGCCCGGAAGGAGCAGGGGGCAGGCTCCAGCTGGTGACGTGCCAGCTGCCCCAGGCCTGCCCAGGAGGGAGACAGACTGGCATGAAATGGATGCGGTGCCCAGCTGGACATGCTTAGCAGGCTCCAAAACTGGTCCACGGGGCTCATCCTGCCCATATGTCACAACTCCCTGCCCAAAGGGGCAGGGTGTGCCCACTCTGAGGAAGCACACACCAGGTGTGGGTAATCCAGTCAGGGACACGGACATGTGGGTGTGCCATAGCCGTGCACACAGGCTGTTCTAGCCCCCTGGGCCAGGGCAGGTGAGAGGCTGCTGCCTACCTGCCCCAAACTGGCCCCAGGGCAAGGGATCCCAGTGCCAGAAAACCCGGGAATCTTTTAGACAGGGGCTGTTGAGCAACATTTTGCAGGACCACCAGCTGCACAGGAAGGACTTGGCTCTTGGAAGGGGCTGTACATGGCAGGACCATGCTGAGAGTGTACATGAGCTTGGCACGAGTAGTCTGCAGGCTCCCAGGTCCTGCCAGTAGCATTTCAAGCTGAAGCTGTCTGTCTCTGTGAGATGACTGGAAGGACTTCGACTTAAAAAGCCTGTCTCCATGCACAGGGAGGGGTTGTCACTCCCTCTAACACCTACCTATTCCTACCTCTATCACCCACTAGCTGTTCTTAGTCAGACTGGGATCTTGAGTGACCACAAAGGGTGCTTTTCACAATGCCTGGTAGCCCCCATAAGTGAAAGCGTCAGCGAGAATATGCATGTACACACACATGCAAGGTATGCTCGCTGGGCCAGGCGACAAGTCCCTTCCCACCCTGCAGCCTCTCACATCTCCAGGATCAGCTCTACAGCCCCTTCCCTGCTTCTTGTAAACCCAGAACCAGGGTGCAGGAAAGCCAGTACCCCTTGGCCATGTGCCTGTGGCCAGAGCTGGTCCGGCTATGTCCTGGTAGCTGGTCCCTGAGTCACATGCTCCCCAGGGCAGGGTGCTGGGGGATGTGGAGCAGGGTCAGGGATGCTCACCAACATGGCAGGGAAACCATGAACACTGGTTCGGGGGGTCAGGTGGCAACGGAGCCCACCACAGTCCTCACTCCCCAACTTATGCAGTAAAGGGATGAGTTTGGCCTCTAAAGTCAGATGGACTCAAGGACAAAGCCCAGATCTGCTGCTTCCTAGATGTAGGACCTTGGACAGGTCACTTCCACTGTATGAGCCACAGATTCCTCATGTGTAAAATGGGTTAATACCAGAAACCACCTTACAGGGTCTTTGTGAGCACCTGTGAGGCAAGATATGTAAAGTGTTTAGCAGGTGGCATTCAATAAACCCTGGAGAAGGAAATGACAACCCACTCCAGCACTTCAGTATTCTTCCCTGGGAAATCCCATGGACTGAACAGAGGAGTCTGGCGGGCTACAGTCCATCCGGTCGCAGGAGTTGGACACAACTTAGCAACTCAACCACCACCATTCGATAAACCTACCGATGTTTGAATCTGTAACATCATCAATACCCTCCTCTCTGTGACTGTTCAGATATGTATGAGAGGCCCTCCAAAGCAGTGGGCACATGTGACTATTTAAATTGGAATTGGAATCAAAGAAAATTAATAATCCACTTCTTCAGTTGCACTAGCCACACTTCAAGGGCTAGTGGTTAATGTAGAGGGCTGTGCTGATTGGAGAAATGTTTCTATCATCATTGAAAGTTCTAGTGGACAGTGCCGTGTATTCGGTAGTGTTGTTCAGAACACAGGGGACCCTTGAGTCAGGCTCCCTGAGTCTGAATCCTACTGCTATTGCCTACCAGCTGTTACCTTGAGCATGTTACTCTCTCCAACTCAATTTCTTCATCTGCAAATGGGGAGGATAATAGTACCTACCTCTTGGGGTTGCTCTGAGGCTTAAGCACCAAAGCACTGAGCACAGTGCCTGGCACATATTAAGTGCTCAAAAAAAAAAAAAAAAAAAACCCAAACCCCAAACAATATTAGAGCTGCTATTATTATTTTTTTGGCTGGTGGATGTGGACGCACCAGGGCTATGCAGCCATGAGTGGGAAACTCTGGGGGTCAGGTTCACAAGTTGAGGGTGTGAGGTGCGTCTGCCGGGGGATGCACACCACTGTGTACAGAGCCCCTCTTCTTCCCAGCACCTCCTTCCTCATGCCCCGTGAAGCCAAGTCGAACGCGGCTCCACCGGGGCCAACTTACGTACAGGCTGCCTGTTCTCCGCGAAGCCCTTACGCAGGAAGATGCAGGCCGGGCCCAGCAGGTTGTGCATGACCGCGCAGTTCTGAGCCAGCATCAGGAGCGGTCCGGGGAGCTCGTTGCTGGCCGCCAGCCCCTCCTCGCTCGTCTGCACCACTGTGTAGCTGGTCTCCTCCTGGCGCATCTTCAGCCAGCACCAAGCAAATACAAAACAGAGGCAGGGTGTCACCTCTCTGGCCTACCTGGGTCCTCCGGGCCCCAGCCTGGCTCCCGATCCTAGAAGGGGCCCTTCTCAAGAGAAGACCTTGAGAGGCAAACACCAGGGTGCAGAGAGCCTTCAGGATGTGCAGAGAGCCTTCAGGATGCACAGGCAGCAGGCGGCAAGCTGGTCCGACAGACGGCGTCCCGGCTCTTTGGCCAAAACAGATGCTCCAGGGAGATCTGGGTGTGATACCCACTGTGTGGCACACCTGCACACACACACACACACACACACGTGCACAGAAACACACCCTCGCGTGCAGACAGACGCTCAGAGAGAGGAGCAGGCAGAGGGAGGCTTCTGTTCATTCAGGGAATAATGTCCTTTCCTAAGATACTCCCAACATCCCAGCACAATCCTCGGGGCTAAGCTCCCCAGCAGACCTCTGATCCTAGCCCTGCTGGAACCCACTGGAGGTAGGGAGGACCATCAGAGCTGGCAGCAGAGTGTGGGCTCAGCTAGTCTGCGGGACTGGAGGCTGCCGATACAGGGGCCATGGCAAACGGAAACAAAGCAGGCAGGTGTGAGAGGCGGGGCCTGGGGTAAGACAGATGCTCTGGATGTCCCCTCTGAAGGGACAGCATGACGTAACTCCAGCCCGGTGTTGCCAGACCTTCCGATTTAAAGCACTGTGTGGGCTAAACAAAGCACTTCTGTCGGTCAGCTTCCACCTAGCTCATGGCCTCAAGACTAGACGCTGTCTCCCATCAGCAATCTTCCTCATCCCTCCCGCCTTCGCTGGCTCTGTGCCTGGTCCAGGGACCTCTGGAGGCTTAGGCAGGGGCCCTCAGTTCTGACCAAATATAGCCATGCTCCCTGGCCCCAGCCAACCCATCCTCCTCCCTGATGGTTCCCATGCAGCTATAAAAAGTCAGCACTGCCCACAGACCGTCCCCTTAGGACAACAGCAGTGTCCAGACACAACATTCTCTCCCAGCCCAGCCTCCTCGCCAGGATGCCCAGGGTCCCCCTAGGTTGGAGTGGTCTGACTTCAGCCCCCAGCTTGGATACCTCCACCCCCAGAGTGAGGAGCTGGAGCCAAACCTTCTAAGGAAAGAGCAGAGAAAACTTAGAGGGCTGCCTCTGTCCAAGGACCCCAGAGTTGCATGTCCCACCCATCCATTCTGCTGCAACCTCTTCCTGCCAGTTTCCTCCAGCTCCAAGAAGGTCCCACTCAGGAGAAGATGCTAAGACCTAAGGGGTAGCCTGTCCTCCCAGGTGGACAAGCAAAGCAATCTCCCACATCTCAACCTGTCCTCATGCTCCTTCTCCTCAGATCTCCCCACACTGTGGGGCTGCAGTCTAGACTCTTGTCCAATTTCTAAGCTTCTTCCAGGCCTAGAGAGGAAGGAGCAATATTCTGGTTCCTCTAAGGGCAAGCAGCCACACAGACTGAGGTACGGGCCCTCAGTGCAAGGCCCGAGTCCAGGGAGTGCAATGAGGGTCACCCTGGGTCGTCCTAGAACTTGAGGGGTGATTAGGGTCCATTCTGGTTTGATGACTAAAAGAGGTTCAGAGCCTCAGCCACACCTACACAGGCTACA